GTCTAAAACTACTCTCCCTTTAGTGAGGGTCAAAGTTGGGGAGCAACTTATCTGCAACTTAGATTGCAGGAGCTTTGATTGGCTGCTCTTACCTAGGAGACCAGGGAATTGAAAAGGAATTGAATTAGTGGGTCCACTCCCCCAAAGCAGGTTACAGCTGTTGGTTTGAGCAGAGATTAAGATTGAGACTCTGTGTTATGAGATTTGGCAAAACTGGAATTGTGTTTACTGTCCCCCAGACACTGTAAAATGTATATCATCATCCCCCAATTATAGGTTTCCCTGTATGCCCAGTACTCAGAGATGCAAGTTTATTATTAGACCCAGATACAGAGCTTTGTGTGGGCAGTCCCCCTTCTCCCCTTTCCCCTCAGCAGGCAGCATGGCCAAGCTGCAGCACCACGAGGACTACTGTCTCCCCAGAGGGAGCCAGCATTTTATTTTCAGTAAGTTTTCTTTTTTTTCCGCAGATTTCAGTAGGTCCCTACTTATGAGGAGAGGTTGAGAGAAATGGACTTATTTAGTCTTGAGAAGAGAAGACTAAGAGGGAGTTTAATACCTGCCTTCAACTACCTGAAGGGTGGTTACAAAGAAGATGGAGCTAGACTGTTCTCAGTAGTGGCAGATGACAGAACAAGGAGCAATGGTCTCAAGTTGCAGCAAGGGAAGTTTAGGTTAGATTTTAGGAAAAACTTTCTCACTAGGAGGGTAGTAAATCTCCATTCTTGAGGGTTAAGACCCAGGTAGACAAAGCCTTGGCTGGGATGATCTAGTTGGGGATGGTCCTGCTTTCAGCAGGGGGTTGGACTAGTTGACTGCCTGAAGTCCCTTCCAGCCCTAATTTTCTATGATTCTAAGAGTGATGGAAAAATCAGGGCTGTATCCTCGGAGAGGTGGAGGAATGAGAAGACACACCAGGTACTCACCATGCAGCTGCCCCAGGGCAGCACTTGGGTCTTATTTTCCTTAACTTATAATCACTTTAACTTCCTTCCAGCTCTCACCCAGACATCCATCTTTAGTCCACCCCAGCAGCCCATCCACCCCTATAACTTGGCCCCAGTACCTTCCATTACCAGCCCAGCTATTCACACACCATTCACACCAACTCCTAACTCAAGCAGCTATTCCAGGCATCTTGCTCCCAAACCACAAAGTGCCTGGGCATACATTGGAGTGCAGAGGAGATCTCACTTATTTCAGGGGAATACCAAAGATAAGTAGCCTCCTACTTCCATCCATCCACACCTGCTTAAGGAGTTGGGATGATAGGCATCAGCCTCTAATCTGTCACACAGAGAGCTGCCCAGTGCCTACCAAGGTTTGTGTCCTTTTAGAGGCCATGGAATTCATTATTATCCATCTTGACAGTGTTTTATTCAGGAAATAATTTTAGTCCAATGTTCCTTGCATGAACAAAGTGGTACGGTTTGTACCAGAAAAGAATTAAACCTTACAATTTTTTTTTCTGAGCAGTTCAGAAGGAATTCACTGTAGTGAAAAATAAGAGTGAAGAGGCTTTTCTGACTTTCATGAATTTTTAAAAAGATTTGTATCATTTGCCACTTGTATGCCTGCCACTCTAACTGTTTAAATACCAAAAGTCTCTTGAACAGAGTCCATCACACCCAGTAGTGTGGGATTTCTGTGGCAGCTAGCCAAAGTAACCAGGTGATCTGTTTTTACTTTGTTATTCTTAACCAGTCTTGACCCCAGATACTCAGACTTATAAAGGCTGGTGGTGTCTCCAAGTACACCAAGCTTACTAATCCAGCTTCTTTCCACAAATACTATATTTTCAAGCAGGTCTCCTTAAGACAGCCCTGCCACATTTCCTTAAGATAGCCCTGCCACATCATTAGAAATTGGTAACACTTAATTATTCATTTAATGATGATCCAAAGTAGAACTCAGAAATCTATTTTGATGAGTAATATTCACTCTTCATCTTGAATTCACATATGTACTGAACAAAAAACATGTCTTCTCTCTACCTTTAGGCAGGTGCTCTATTGCAATAGATCCATTTACAGCCGTTACTACCTTGAACATGTCAAATGTTTCTGTGGATGTGAAATACTCAGCTGCCTTCTAACAAACTAAAATTCAAATGCTGTTCTTCTAACAAACTAAAATTCAAATGCTATTCAGAGACAGAAAGAGCTATATAGTTTAGAGCATCAAAGCACTAGCCCTGACTTACATTAATAAAATACTATGTTGGGGGAAGGAGGCAGTCTCTTTCAATTGCTTGCCAGTCTGTGTTCTCCTTTCTCTGGTCAGTCTGTAAAATGAAATCAGGATTGAGATTTACATGCTTAGTATTATCCATACCAAAAATAATTATTTGCAACAAGAGTCCTTCACTGTCACACATTTAATTATATCTTTTATCTAAATGGAATCAAGAAGTAGATTCCAGCTTTTTAAATTAAATTGATCCATAGTAACAGTAACTTGTTGCAAATCATGCAATAAATACAATATCCTCTGTCCAACTTTATAAAGAAAGTTGTCCATTTCTTCTTAGACATCTAGAGGCATGTATACAGTTTTTACAGGAAGGTTAAAGATATGTAGGAAAATACAAATCATGAACTAAATTCTGTGTGTTACACTGATACAGATATGGGGATAGGCATTCACTGATGCTATTCTGGATTTACATCAAGGTAATTAGGAGCAGAATTTGCCCCCAGGTTTTAAAGGATAAAAAAACCAGTAAGACAAATTTCTGCCTTTTGACTGTTGAGCTGGTCACATAATATTTAATATTTCTCTTTTTTTGAATTGCAAATATAATTTATATGGCTAAGAAAATAGTCTTAAGACCTGTGTTCCTGATACATATACCATGCAGTAACTATTTATGACAACAGCATAAATTACTCAGTTTAACTGAATTTATATTGAGTTTCTTTGGTTAGTAACATGTAAATGTAAGTCTGATTTCTTAATATTTTCTTCCTTTTAAATATAGACATGGTATGTGTTATGTTTATCCCCACAACATATCAAATAAAATTGAAAAGTACAAGGAAAAGCATGCACTGAAATTCAGTTCTAACTCTAAATCAGAGGTATGGCAGGTATGGCTCAGAGGCTGGACTTGGCCTATGGAGCCATGTCATCTGCCCTTCAGGGATGGAAATGTGGTGGGGTCACCAAAGTCAGTGTTTACTGTCACAATTCCTGGAGCTGTAATTGCCATCACTTGTCACACCACCAAATTTATTGAGCATGCTGGAGCATGGTAATTACCGCACTCCAGTAGACTCCAGCGTCACGTGTATCAGTGTCCCCATGCTGGAAAACGGTGACAGGGAGCTTTGAACTAAAGCTCACCAAACTTTAATTTAAAGCAGAGTGGGAAGTGTTTGTTTTTCCCTATGCTTTTGGGCTTTGTTGGTTGCCACTTGGAAATAAGAACACATTTTTCCCCCTTCTGTTGCCAGATGTGTCAAGGGGCGTTCGGGTTTTTTTTTTACTGTCCTCTGAATCGTTGGATGTTGGCTGGGATATGCTAAAGCTCCTGCTGAGACTAAAACCCAGAGATTCCTGATTAGAGGGTCCACTCAGGGTCTCCTCTACTCAGGGTCAGACCAGTCTCTACATTTGGGATCATAAAGGGATTTTACCCCACAGTCAGATTGGTACCAACTGTGGAGTTTTATAACTTTGTTAGTAGTGGGACATATGGCCCTCTTCCCTGAATCTCTCAAGTGTATTTTAATAACTCGTGTAGTGGCAGGACACTGACAGCCCTTTATTCAATCATTCAGTGAGATTAAGAACCTTTTCCTATGAAATATTTTTATTTTACTAGACATGTAAACTTATTGTTGCATTACTGTTTTAAATGTAGGAAAACAGTTTGCAATGTAGAAATATTAACAGGAAGTTTCCCTTTTGTAATTTCTGCCATTTATAGGTCTGAGTTTTGTCTCTCACCAATATAAATGAAGTGCAAATTGAATTTCATTGAAATTAATAGAGTTGCAGTGCTGCAAAATTAAACTATAATCAGAATTAGAACCTATCCTTTTGAAGACCCATTGTTTCCCCTAAGTATGGGTATGTGATCAAATGAGCTGTCTGTCTTAAATGTGAGATTTGGGGTGTTTTTTTGCTTAAAATGTGTACAAGGTAAGACAACTTGTCTTATCTTTCTGCCCTATGGATTAGAGAAAAAGTACCATATGTACAGTGAGTTGTCTAAGTTGCTAAAAGATTTCTTTATATGGTACTTGCAAAAATTATTTCAGGTTTGTTTTGATTATTTTTATTCATCCCTAATTGTCTGGCAATAATAATATATTCACACTGTTATTCTGCAGTTCTCTCTCCTTGCTAAATCATAAGATCAGTTTCAAGATTTACACCAATGCAAAGTAAACCTTTCTCTTCTCTTAAAAGGTCATTCACTCCTTTCTGCCATTTACTTGCCCTGTGAAAACCAGCAGAATGTTTTAGAATTCATTCCCACTGAGTATTCTAGCTTTGGGATATACAAGTGTTTATGATGTATGTTCTAACCATGAAATTCATATTACTTGACCTAGATTCCAAATCTCTGGAGTTAGCCATTAAATCAAGTGTTGTGTTTTCCTTAGGAAGTATATACAATCTATAAGTAATTAGAAAAATAAATAAACATTGAAGCTTAGTTTTAGCAAGCGCCAGATCTTATAACTGATTAACTCTTTCACTCCCACTGTCAGAATAGCCTATTTATTCTTCCCCATTATTGAGACAGATTAATCATTCATAACATCTATTTTGCAAAAACACAGAAGCATAACAGATTTTGGTGGGGCACATGAAATGTGGAACTCGTAATGGGATCTCTTCTCCATCCTCAAGATTAATGCTTGAAAAGCCCAGTTTAGTATATTGTGCTGTGTTCGTTTTCATCGAAGTGGCAAACAACACATTTCACTGTCTAAATAATCTGGTATTTAAAATCTAATTCAACATTTGTCTTTTTGTTTTGCATTTAGTGTTAAGCATTGGTGAAGGTGGATTCTGGGAAGGCAGCACCCGAGGACATGTTGGATGGTTTCCTGCAGATTGTGTTGAGGAAGTTCAGTGTAAACCAAATGAAAGCAAACCAGGTAAGCAGATTTGACAATAATTTGCAGAGTGACAAATAAAATGTATCTGGCTAAGCACTGAGGCAATCAAGGTTCGAATAGATTTGTACAGACTTATTGTGCAATGTTGGAAATAAGAGAATTAAATAAGACTGAAATTCTGGATTAAGAAAGGATAAAGATGTATTTATTGATCAAACTGTACTGGACATTGTTCAAACAATCTTTTTCATAAAGTACTGTAAATTACTGCTAGAGCAGATAGGGAGGATATTCTAGGTATTTTGTAAGGCACTATGTTGTAGCTTTTTTCTAACAGTATACAAAAAGTCATTAACTGGTTGAATAAACACTTAAAGAAAATTTGACCGTTGATCTCCCACATTGGGACAGTCACTAAATGTGTTAAATTGCCCTTTGTAATAATGAAACTATTCTGTATACTGCGTTCACCCTTCAGTGAATTGTATTTGATGCAGCTATAATTTAGCATCAAAAGATCTTCTTCCTACACCGTTGTCTGTAAGGGGTCAATGATAGAACTGAAAAGCCCAGTCTGGCTACAGTTTAGGATCTAACTAGAATGAGATTTTTATAAATTGGAAAATAAGGGGCAAATGACATTTTTAATTACAGTAATCTTAAAAATTAGGGATGTTCAGGTTTTGGATGGTGGTTAATGTTTCTGAAAATTAAAACCTGTATTTTTCTATTTTCTGATGTTTGGCAGAAAAATGAACACAATTAAGCCTAGTACAATGAGTTTTATGTGGGCAGACCTCTGTGGCCCATGACTGGGCCAGAATTGTAATGCTTTTGTTACTAAAGCTTCTATATCCTTCAAAAACATGGTGCTTCTCTTTTGAAAGCACCTTAGAAATATCCAGCATCCTATGAAGTGTTTAAAAGTGTTTTTCGGGAAGAAAAGAACACCAGACTCCTGTCTACCTTGGTTTGGGTTAAGGGAGCACCACTGATGGAAGATACATATCTGCCTTTATGCATGTATTAGGGCAATGGATGTCTCTTTACATGTTCAATTGGTTACTTGATGTGTTGGATTTGTTAATAAATAAAGATTTTTTTCTGCTGCAGTTAGCCAGGGCAGAGGAACTGAACTTTTTATTAGTATGCACTGGTTCTGTTGTGATTAAGTAAAACAAAAGTGATTTTATTTAACTAGTCTTTATGCTATCAGATATTCCACCACTGATGCAGCTAAAAGAATAAAAAATAAACAGGCTTTGTCATTGTGCTTTAAGAATCGCCTAATGAACCATAGTTACTTTGCCTATTTTAAAGAAAGAGTGAACATATCTTCTAAATAAAAGTCGTTATGAACCATAACAATGCTCACACTATGAGCGTTGATGTCCTAAGTATGGAAAGGATATGACACAATGGTCTAAATGAGCTATTAATGTGTTAAGAACTTGATGAAGATATAAAGACATTACAATTATATCTTTGTCATTCTAATATATCAATATTACTAAAATGAGAATAGGTTATCTGTGCATAATCTGCCTTTCACTCTGACTATCCTTCATAAGAGGATAGAAGTGAAGAGAACATGCTGGGCAAGACTAACAAAGAATTCAGGAGTACTGTGGAACTGGAGGCTTTTATGGGATTTGTTTGTGTTGTTATATAGAGTATGGTGCAGGGAGATGGGGAGGTGATTCAGGAATAAGAGTTAATGTCCAGACAAAAGTTTCCCAATTCCCTGAACAGAAAGGGTAACTGGTTGGATCTTTAGGGCATCTTTACTTTTCAAAAATGTTGAGAAAGATGAATAAGAACTCATATTTTTGAAAGAAAAGAAGAACATAACCCATACATAAGATGCTTTCAAGATCTTACAGAAGAACCACTGGGCTGAAAGACTTCAGATTGATCTAGTGCAATAAAAGTATTATGAATACCAGTACTGGTGTTAATTGTTGAGTAATGATTTACTGTGAATAACATTTCCATCTCTACATTACACCCACATCCAAAAATCAGATTTAATGATAAAGATTATCTGCAAGATCAAAATGACAGTGCAGCTGAAGAACAAAGTGTTAAATCTCTTAATTAGTCTTCAAAAAGATTTTTTCCTCACACCAATATAATGAACAGATGTCACTCAGTGGGCCACTTTCTATGTCTGCATCTGACTAGTATCTTTAATAAAAACTAGCAACCAGGACATAGGCTCTATCAGGACCCTGTAGAAAGTCAGTGTGGCTCATGCTTCCAGATGAATCTGAAAAGTTCTTAGCAGACAGGCTTTTGGAATTCCAGAATATGCCGACTGCTCTCTTCTTAGCACATTTCAGAAACTTCTCCATGCTGAAAGGTTCCAAATACAACTCATTAAGACAGATAACCTTAAGACTGGATTAATTCAGATTAGTATTATATTGTCTCAGTTTGATTAGTTTTTAGTCATGGAGCTTTATGTTCTAATTAGAAAGTAACGAGTGGCGCCTACAGCAGGTTTTGAATACAAAGGGTTTTTTGTTGTTCAAACTAGAGATAGATAATGTTTTAGATAGATAAGGATGGGATGCAAATCTCATTGCCACATATCTGTAGCAATCTTCATGCACAGTAGGGATTCTTGTATAGATATAAAGAATGTAAGCTGTAATTAAATGTTAGCGAGAAAGCTCCTCAAAAATTAAGTGCATGATGATTTTCAATGATGTTAATAGATTTAATAAATTACATAGATTTCTAGGGTCAGAAGGGACCTATTAGATCATCAAGTCTGACCCCCTGCTCTGGGCAGGAAAGAGGGTTAAGTAACCCCAGGCAGGTATTTGTCTAATCTCCTTTTAAACATGTCAGAGGTAGGGGAAAGCATCACCTCCTGTGGAAGTCCATTCCATATTGTGGCAACCCTCAACGTAAAGAATTTTTTCCTGATGTACCATCTAAATCTGCTTGCCTTCAGTTTATGGCTGTTACTTCTAGTAAACCCGAGGGGCTCCGTGATAAACAGCGTCCCCTATTCTCTGATGACCCCACCTGATGGGCTTGTAGACAGCCACAAGGTCACCTCTCAGCCTTCTCTTGCAGAGGCTGAAGAGATTTACGTCCCTCAGTCTGTCTTCATAGGATCTTACCTGCAGGCCCTCAACCATATGAGTATCCCTCCTCTGAACCCTTTCCAGGTTATCCGCATCCCTCTTGAAGTGTGGCACCCAAAACTGGACATAGTACTCCAGCTGCGGCCTCACCAATGCCACATAGAGGGGAAGTATCACCTCCCTAGACCTGCTCGGGATGCACCTACTAATGCAAGACAGAGTGCAGTTAGCCTTACTTATTACCTCATCGCATTGGCGACTCACGTTCATTTTTGCTTCAACTAAGACTCCAAGATCCTTTTCCGCTGCTGTGGTACTCAGAATGGTACTTCCCAGTTTATAGGTGTATTGGTGATTCTTTCTCCTCAGGTGTAGCACTTTGCACTTCTCTTTGTTAAATTGCATCCTATTCTGATCTGCCCACTTCCTTAGTCTGTCCAAATCCACCTGAATTCGCTCCCTACCCTCTAGTGTGTCTACTATGCCCCATAGTTTGGTGTTGTCTGCAGATTTGAACAGAGTGCTTTCTACACCCTCATCCAAATCACTGATGAAGATATTGAACAGCACATGTTCAAGGACAGAGCCTTGAGGGACACCACTGCCCACATCTCTCCAGGTAGAGACCGACCGATCTGCCACCACTCTCTGGGTGTGCCCCATAAGCCTGTTTTCCACCCATCTGGCTGTGAAAAAAATCCACGTCACAGCTACTTAGTTTATTTATAAGAATTGGGTGCGACACTGTGTCAAAAGCCTTTTAAAATCCAAGTAAATAACATCTGCTCTTGCATCTAAGCACTTTGTAACCTGGTCATAAAAAGAAACCAGGTTAGTCAGGCAGGATCTGCCTGCTATAAACACATGCTGGTTTCCCCCTTAGCATTGTGTTACCCGCTGGCCCCCCACAAATGTGATCCTTAATGATTTTTTCTAAGGTCTTGCCACGAATAGAGGTGCGGCTAACCGGCCTATAATTACCCAGGTCCTCCTTCCTCCCCTTCTTGAAAATAGGGACCACATTAGCCCTTTTCCGGTCCTCTGGGACCTGTCCTGAGTGCCAGAAGCACTCAAACAGTTGCGCCAGTGGTTTTGCTATGACACTGGCCAATTCCTTTAGTACCCTTGGGTGAAGATCATCGGAGCCTGCCAACTTGAATACATCCAACCCCTCCAAGTGCCCCTTCACTAGGTCGGCACTGACCGCTGGTGGATTGGTATCTCTCTCACACCAGACTAAAGTGTCAATGGGAGATGTGTTTGTATCCGTGTCCAGGAACACAGATGCAAAGAAATCATTGAAGAACTCAGCTTTGTCCATCCTATCTGTTAGGAGTTGCCCTAGTCCATCCTGTAGTGGCCCTATGTTACCCTGTGCCTTCTTCTTGCTCCCTATGTACTTAAAGAAGGACTTTTTGTTACCTTTAATCTTTGTTGCCAGCCTGAGTTCCATTTCTGCTTTGGCCTTCCTTACTGCTTCCCTGTAAGTGTGAGCCAAGCAAGTATACTCCTCCCTGGTGGCTGCCCCCTGCTTCCACAGCCTGTAAGCCTCTCTTTTCCCCTCTACGCTCTCCTGGATTTCCCTGCTCAGCCAAGAGGGTTTCTTGGCTCTTTTGCTTCCCTTTATATGTACTGAGATGGTGCCCCTCTGTGCCTGCAGGATCAGTCCCTTGAGGAACTCCCACCCTTCCTGGACTCCCAACTCACCAATGCTATTACCCCTCAGTCCCACTCTAACTAATCTCCTGAGCTTGTTAAAGTTGGCCTTCCAGAAGTCTAGCACTTCTGCCCTACTAGTTATCTTTCCCACCTTTTACCGGATAGTGAAGCCTATCAACAGGTGGTCACTATCTCCTAGGCTACCTTGTACCTGCAGATCCCCCACGAAGTCCTCCCCTGTGGCCAGCACCAAGTCAAGTAAGGCGTTTCCCCTAGTGGGAC